TCGGTGTCCCTATATTTCCCCTATAAGTGACACCATCCGATATTTTTCTTTTTCCTTCTGACTTATTTCGCTGAGCATAATCCCTTCCAGCTCCATCCATATTGCTGCAAATTGCATGAGTTTATCTTTTTTGATTGCTAAGTAATATTCCATGGTGTATATGGACCACATCTTCTTGATCCAGTCATCTATTTTTGGGCATTTGGGTTGTTTCCAAAGCTTAGCTATTGTAAATAGTGCTGCAGTAAACATAGGGGTGCAGGTGCCCTTTTGAATTAATGTTTCTGTGTCCTTTGGGTAAATACCTAGGAGTGGAGTTGCTGGATCCTATGGAAGCTCCATCTTTAGCAGACTGAGGAATCTCCACACAGCTCTCTATAGTGGGTGGACCAGTTTGTACTCGAACACTTTTGGGAGAGGCCTGCACTACCTATTCTCCCTACCTGAGACTTTCATTTGAGGAGTGTTTCCAAACCAGATTACCTTGAATGTTTGTAAAAGTCAGAGTCCTGGGCCCCATTCCCAGTTACTCTGACTCAGAAGAGTTGAGATGAACCCAGGCTTTTCATTTTAATAGACCGGGGCTAGATTCTGATGCAGATAGGCCAATTTTTGATAAAACACTGTTTGGGATTTTTTTCTGCAAGTAGCATACCTCCTTTCAAGATGTCTTTCATTTTCTCTTCCTTGAGGCTTTTCAAATATATGCCTTATTGTTTACTTTTTCCAGGTTCTGATCCTGTTCCCTGTTCCCATGTCCTCAACATCCCCTTCTGTTTTCCTCATCATGATAATTATTTTTAGAAAGACATCAAATAATCTTTACTTCAAGTAATTATGTATGTGGTATATTTAGAAGTCACAGAATTCCTGTGATTAGTTTTAACAAGGATATCAAGAGATGTGAAATGTTTCATAATAGAACCTGCGTTTTCTTCTGCTTTCATGCCTCTGTGGTGGTTGCTTATCTAACAAGATGTAAAATACATATTTTGTTGTGATTAAATTTTGTTATTAAACTTAGGATCCCACCACCTGGAATGGAGACCCACATACCAGTTCTGTTCCTTGATTTGAATGGTAAGCAGATACCTTACATTCTAGTTATCACATTTAATTAGGGTTTGTAATCTGTTCAGGACCACTTTATTTTGATCCTTTAATCACTTTCCTCATCTTTCATATGCCATATCAAGGTGACATTTTAAGTCCAAATATTTAGAGCCATGACATGTAGAATCACTAGCAGGGAGATGTGGATATTTAAATAAGAGAACCCGTGAGAGATTGAGAACTACATGCAAAAATATTAAAACAACTATTGCTCTGAAATGTTAACAGATACAGAAATGACGCGAGAAGGTAATCATCCTCAGAGATTCAGAATCTTTTTGCTTTTCAAAGATCTAGTTAGAAATCTGCATTTCTTATGTGGGTCCTTTGCTCCCCACCGCCAGTAGTTTGGATGCCAGAAAATAATAACACCATGACCCTGCTGAAGGGTTGTCCTTTACCATAACAGTTAGATCTAACCCGGGCAAACCTAGAATGCTGGTTTTCCATGTGTTCTAGCAGTGAAATCCATTTTCCAAATGAAGTCTTCAATGGAACCCCTTGTGTAGATTACAAAAGCAGAGCTGCCAGGTGAGGGGATGGTCAGTATCTGGCAAGCCCTTTGCAGGGCCCTCAGGAACCTCAAAACAGCCTACAAATCTCTTTCTGGAGGGAAAACCACTAATGGACGGCTAGAAGACACAAGGGGGTTGGATTTGGCACTTCATATGTAGAATCTTTTTTTTTAAGATTTTATTTTTTTAATTTTTGTGTAGAAGAACTGGGGTATAGGCCAGAGGTATGGGGGTGGGGGTGAGAGGATTCACCAGAGACAGAGTGGGGAACAGAACAGGTGGATCTACTGAAATACACTGCTGAGAGGAGCAGCAGGCAAGACTTAAGAGGTCTGCTGCGCCATGTGGGTAGCTCCCTGGCCAGGGATCCAACTCAGGCCATGGCAGTGATAGCAGTGATAGCGCTGAGTCTTAACCCCTAGGCCACCATGCATGCCTCATGAAGTAGTGAGTCCCCCATTACTGGAGGTATACAAGCAAAGGCTGATGACTACTTAAAAGATATTTGTAAAAGGTAAATCTCACATTGGCTAGGGTATGAAAGCTGATCTTCAGATTTCACCCTAAATTGCTAATTTAAACTACTCAAATCTCTAATGTAAGTTTTTTAAGTAGGACAAACCTAACACGAGGTTATAGGAGAAATTGGCATCAGAAAGCATCAAACTTTTTTTTACAAATTATTTTATTTTATATAATTCTTACATCATTGTTAATTTTTGCACAATGTATGCATTTTCATGTTGATTATATTCCCCATAAAATTCCCACCCTTCTTAAGAAAGCATCAAACTTTTACGGCATGTTTATGGTGAAAATATTTCCTCCTCCTACGGCTACATGTAGACAATATTCAGTCCATTTTATAGGAGACTCACAAAGGCACCCTTTTGACCCCCATCATTATTTCTGAAAGAATAAACGTGAGTAAGTATCGGCATCTCTGTATCAACTAGAGGCTAAGGAATGAAAGAGAAAGCTGTTACCTGTAAACTTCATCTATTAAAAGGATGTTTTAAATTTTTCAGAGCTTACTTGAAAACTGACTTTTCCCCTTTTTTTGTTTCTGTGCCCTGGACTCGGGTAGCGGATGACCTCAGTGCTAATGAGCAGCTCGTGGGCCCCCATGCGTCAGGTGTGAACTCCATCCTGCCCAAGGAGCATGGCAGCCAGTTTTTCTACCTGCCCATCATAAAGCACAGTGATGAGGAGGTAAGTGACTGATAAGATACTCTTCAAGGGCTTCAGACTAGTACACATGCCTGGGGGCCTGTCTCCTCACTAAATTGCAGTGGTCCGCTTGGGGAAAGATGATGGTGGGGCTTTGAAGGAGCACAGGGGACTGAGGTGATGGTGCACGGGTGCATTGGGGAAGGAAACTCTATGGGGACCACACCTGAGGGAGTCAGGGAAGGCAAATATTGTTTAAAAATGAACAATGATGTAAAAAAAATTTAAAAATGAAATAAAATAAAATATAGATTTGAAAAGATGCATTTGGTGAAAAAAATAAAATAAATAGAACATGTGTTGTCATTCAAACAAGGTGAAGACAATCAGCTGAGTCAGTAGAATTGCATTTCTTTTCTTTCTCTGGTGCGGGATGTGAAATGACTACACCTGATGTACCTGTTGCTCTCTCTGCCCTTCCTCTCATCCCCAGGTCTCAGCCATCGCTTCTTGGGACTCCTCAGTGCATGATTCTGTTCACTTGAATAGAGTTACCCCCCAGAATGAAAGGATTTACCTAATAGTGAAGACCACGGTCCAGCTCAGCCACCCGGCTGCTATGGAGTTAGTATTACGAAAGCGGATTGCAGCCAATATTTACAACAAACAGGTAGTAACAGGGCCCGATTCTGCCATTGCATATATGAACTCCAGGGGTTTCCTTCTGTCACAGAGTAGTGTTTTGTGGTGTTAAGATGGTGGATGTGCAGTGTTCCCATACTGGCAAAGTTGAATCTGATTATCAGTAACACTGGGTCATGAGCATAGCAGAAGTGGATTTCAACCACCCAATTTCATCCACCCTATGCCTTTTTGAGACCCATAATCCAAGGAGGTGATAGAACTATGACCTGTCACTGTTTGGAAAAGGTTAAATATCATTTCCAAGTGGTTAGTGACAAAACCATAACGAAATGCAGGATCCAGGTAAAACCCTGTTCTGTGACTTCCCCAAATTTCATCTCGGCAGCGCTATTGCAAAACTGATTCTCTCCAGTTTGTTTCTGACAATCCGGGATAGATTGACAAAACGCTGACAGGATCAAAGGAACTCAAAAATGAGAGAGAGAAGCAACCACAGAATTCCCTGAATAGGCTACAAAGTCTGCAACTAGTCCCTGAATAACAGCTGGAGATTATTGTCCCTCGGGGTTGGTGATGAGGATTTTTAGTTCACCTTTTGTGTTGCACTGGGCACTGTATATCAGAACCTTTAACAATGCTTGTACAGTTTGTAACACATGAAATAACTTCCATTTCTCACATAGCTTAATTCAGTTTTTCTTTTCTACCAGAGTTTCACCCAGAGCTTGAAAAGGAGAATATCATTGAAAAATATATTTTATTCCTGTGGTGTCACCTATGAAATAGTATCAAATATACCAAAGGTAAAAATAAATATTACTTTTAAAAAATATTAAAATACAAATAATGGACAAGGTATTCATTCTCCAAACTTTTAAATAATTTTCTTGCCACATTTTTTACAATTTTTTTTTTTATTGAGATCATGTTGGTTTACATTGTTGATTGTATTTGGAAGTATAAGATGCCCACTTCCTGTGATATTGCTGCAGACCCCCACAATTTTTTTTATTATTATTTTAAGTATTTTTTACATCATTCTTCATTTTTGTGCAATGTATGCCTTTATCTTAGGTATAGTCCCCATGGAATTGCTACCACCCATTCACCCATGAACCATCACCTTAGTCCCTTGTGCTCTTCCCACCCCTGTTTTGATCCTACTCCTTTCTCCCCCCCCCTGCAGGATGTCTCTGGTTTATATTTGCCTGTTGATTTTGACTTTTACTTAATTATAATTACTTTTCCCCCTGATCCCGTATTTGGATCCCCTACATTCCTCCTATAAGTGAAACCATACGGTATTTTTCTTTTCTTTCTGGCTTATTTTGCTGAGCATGATCTCTTCCAGCACCATCCATGTTGCTGCAAATTGCATGTGTTTATCTTTTTTGATTGCTGAGTAATATTCCATGGTGTATATGTACCACATCTTGATCCAGTCATCTATTTTTGGGTTGTTTCCATAGCTTGCCTAGTGTAAATAGTGCTGCAATAAACATAGGGAGACCCCCCACAATTTTTATGAAAATATTATTCGTGGAAAAATACTGTCATGTGCTTGCTTCGGCAACACAAATACTAAAATTGGAAGATACAGAAAAGATTAGCATGGCCCCTGCACAAGGATGACACGCAAATTTGTGACGCATTCTATATTTTTTTTTAAGGCTTTGTCATGATTTTTGCAGCAATTTAAACTAACTTGGGTCTGTATAGAGAATGCCACTGTAGTTTTTGAGGCCTGTGTGTGGATGCTGATAATTTTGTATTTTCTCTAAGGGTGGGAAAGGAAAACAATTCTAAGTGAGAATATTATTGTTCTTTTGGATAAATTGTATTAAAGAATTTTGTTAGACCTTTAAAAAAAAAGCACTGGCCTTGCCTTCTTGCCACTACAGGCAACAGAGGAGATTGAGGACAGGGAGACACTGGCTCTCATGGCAGCAAGGAGTGAAAACGAAGGCGCGTCAGACGGGGAGACCTACATTGAGAAGTACACGCGTGGCGTGCTGCAGGTGGAGAACATTCTGAGCCTTGAGCGGCTCAGGCAGGTGAGTGAAGGCAGATGTGGCTGAAGGAGTAGCTGCTCAGCCTTTACCCCACATGGAGAAAGATGAGTTTATTTCTAGCCCCCTTCTACTAAATCTCTCAGAGAAGGAGCACGTGGATAGCATCTCCTTGGACAAAATAGTTGCATTGACAAAGTAATGCCAAAAGTTGAAGTGACTCCATTTTATTGAATACCCCCTACTTCCCAGGAAACACTGTGTTTAGATACATTTTTGTTTTTTCATTTAACTTTCAAGGTGAGCCTATGAGCTAAATATTGTCATGTCGCCATTTGTAAATGAGAACATCGAAGCTGATGGAAATTAGCTTATCTGCTGGTGGTTCCAAAGTCAGATGTAAAGTCTTGGCTACACAAGTCCATGTTTAACTGTATGCCACCACTGTCCCCCCAATTTATGGAACTAAGTTAACTTTTACAGCAGCAACAGGACATTCAGAGAGAACTCTTCCCCTAGGCAGTAGAACTCTAAGACAAAAGATGTCATTCCTGAAAAGAAGTAGGTTTAAGCAACAAGAGGGCTAAGACTGGCCTCTGTCAGAAAAATTTTAGATGGAAGTTCCATCTAAATTGCTGCATTGACAAATGTCCAACAGGCATATGGAAAAATGTTCAACATCACTTGTAATCAGGGAAATGCAAATCAAAACTACCATGAGATACCATCTCACACCAGTGAGAATGGCACATATTAAAAAAACTAGCAACAACAAATGTTGACGAGGATATGGAGAAAAAGGAACTTTCCTGCACTGCTGGTGGGAGTGCAAACTGGTCCAACCACTATGGAGAGCTGTGTGGAGATTTCTGGACCTACTAAACATAGAGCTTCCATAGGATCCAGCCATTCCACTCCTAGGTATTTACCCAAAGGACACAAACATTAATTCAAAAGGGCACCTGCACCCCTATGTATATAGCAGCACTATTTACATAGCTAAGCTATGGAAACAACCCAAATGCCCAAAAATAGATGACTGGATCAAGAAGATGTGGTACATATACACCATGGAATATTACTCAGCATTCAAAAAAGATAAACACATGCAATTTGCAGCAACATGGATGGTGCTGGAAGGGATCATGCTGAGTGAAATAATCCAGAAAGAAAAAGAAAAATACCGGATGGTCTCACTCATAGCAGGAATTTAGAAAACCTAAATAAGGGACCAGGAAAAAGACTAACTATAAGAAAGAAAAAATCAAAATCAACAAACAACTATAAACCAAAGACACACTGTGGGGGGTGGGAGGCACGAGAGGGGAGAGGAAGGATTAGGGTCAAAATAAGGGGGGTGCAATTGTATGGGGAATATAGCCAAAATGAAAATGCATACAATGTGCAAAAATGAAAAATGATGTAAGAATTATATAAAATAAAATATTTTAAAAATAATAAATAAATTGCTGCATTGAGTAAAATACAAACAGCATACAATTCATTTGTGGTTTTGCATATGAGAGATATAGCTGGAGCTATTTCTTCTACATTCTTTCTGCCCACCTGTATAAAAAGCCCACATGTAAGTCTTCAACAACAGTTTCCCTGATCCTATTTATGAAGAATGTTTTTGATCAATCAAGTAAATAAAACTCGTGAGTACAGAAGATTCCAGTTTTATAAAAATGGGTATGTGTGTCGGGTGGGGAAGATTGAAGTAATTTTTATTTCTGTATCTTAATTTTCCACTATAAACATACTGTTTTTGTCAATAAAGGAAAACAAATGATAAATGTTGTTGTCACATTTTCAGGCTGTTACAGTCAAAGAAGCACTTTCCACCAAAGCCCGGCACCTGCGGAGGAGTCTCAGCACACCGAACGTTCATAATGTGAGCCCACGCAGCGAGGGGTGTTGCCTGTGTGCTATATCTCAGGGTTTGTGGTGAGCCCATGACGGGGGCGCAAGGCTGGGGTTTAAAGGTGGTCCAAAGCTCCATGCCTGCCCTTTGCCTGGGAAGCCCACTGGGACCCCAGTTCTGTGTAAGATGAGAGAGTCTCCAGTGGAATTGTAGAAACTTCTCTTCAAAAACGTACCTTCTGGAATGAAGTTTCTTGGGGTATAAATTGAATGTAGGTGGTTTAAGGAGGGTAGAGGCAGCTAAAAGTCCTGGCTGCCAGAACCCTTGAGTGCTGCTCTTACATCAGGTTTTTTGCCCCCTCCCTGCTGCCCTGATGGGTTTGCCTATACTCCCCATCAGTGCAATGGGGTGCCAGGGACCCCACGATCCCCAGCTTTCCTTCCATCATTTTTATTTTCTTCCTCGATCTGTTCACTGAGAAAATCCTCTTGGTCTAGAAAATTCCCTTCTAGGTGAGGGGGACACTATCATGGGAAAAAAGACAGGTTCTACCTGGACCACTTCACAGCTGCCTCTTCCCAGAAGCAGCAGAGTAAAGTCAATCCTCCCAAGGGAAAACACAATAATATTTGCCTTCCTACTATGCAGAATTGCCTGGAAATGTGATTGACATTTATAAAACTTCCTTATAATAGATCACAAAGCTAATATCATCTAATTGCAATGTATGGATTATTTTAACCCTGATCCCAACAAAACCCTATAGTCATTATCATAAGATTATTTCTTCTGGCCCCAATACAATTATTAGAAACTAATGAGACCCGTGCAAGTTTAAATTGATAAAGCAGTCTTCTAATTAGATACCAATTAAGAGCTTGTAATGAATGTTTAGATGTATTTAGAACTAAAGAATAATTAAAATGATACTGTAACCCCTATGGGATGCTGTTAAAGTGGTGCTTACAGTGAAACTTAGCCCTAAGTTCCCTATTATTCCAGTTTTCCAGCAGAATACTATACAGTAGAGAAAATGAAATAGTGAGGGGTACTATTAGGAAATGTATAGCTCTTACAATATGAAAGATAAAAAAATAATGAGGGAAACATCTGTCTTGAAAAGGAAAGACATATCTCCTATGAAGTATTATACCAATAAAAGAAAATTAGAACCAGAATCTGATCCAGACTCTAGATCTAGCTGTTAATATTTACAGGGAACAGAGGAAAATGCTAAATGACACCACAGGGTTTCATTTAGCAAATCCAGACTATAGGGAGCTTTACAGAACAACTTAACAGAGAAAAAGTGATTCATCAATTAAAAGAGACTTGAGCAATGTATCATCTCATTGCAATACATGGACTATTTTAACCTTATTTTTTTTTTAACTGTAACATATTATTTATGAGGCATTTGGCTATGAACTGGCATGTGATGTATTTAGGAATTACTTAATGTTCTAAGATGTGATAATGGTATTATGGCTTGGATTTTCAAATATGGAGAAGGAATTCCTTTTAGGAATTCTTGTAGCATTTCCTAGAGAATTATTTGTGGAAAAAGGGCTTTAAGTCAGCAAAAGCGAATCAGAATAAGTTTTTTAAGATTAATTTATTTATGCATACAAGAACTGGGGTATAGGCCAGAGATCCAGGGAGTGAGAGGATTCACCAGAGACAGAGCAGGGTCAGACTGACTGAAATACACTGCTGAGGGGAGCAGCGGGTGAGTCAGGAGAGGTCTGCTGCACCATGTGGGTTGCTCCCTGGCCAGCCAGGGATCGAACTCATGCTGCAGAGGCTGCGGATTGCTTCATAGTGTGGTGTTTAACCCCTTGCGCCACAAAGGAGGCCCCCAGAATAAGATTTTTAAGAAGGAATAGTAATAAGTATTAGAGAAATATTGTAATGAATTCAAATAAAGGAGAAAATAATGATTACAGCAGAGGTGTATGAAATAGAAAATAGACAACAGAAAGAATCAGCAAAACCAAAAAGCTTGTTTTTCAAAAAAGACTAAACGGACTGACTTCTAGTTAAGGATCAATTAGGGAAAACACCTCTATTACTGGAAATTAAAAGGAAGTTATCACTGCATAAAAGAAGAAATGTAGACATCATAAGAGCAAACTATGAATAATGTTATGTCAGTAAACATAAAAGCTTAAAGAAAATAGAAATTTCCTATAAAAAGAAGGAATAGAAAATCCATACACACCTATCGCCAAAAAGAAGGCCTAAGCTTTTGGAGAAATTAACTGTGTTCCACATCTCCTGAAACTGATTTAAAAATTCTCAATATAGTTTATTTGATCTAGAATTAAAGATCTAAAGCTGATCCTAATATCCCTATGGAAAAGCAAAGTTGAAAGTAAGAAAAGTATTACCTTATCAGAGCCCAGAGATTCCACTAGATATTCTCATCGATGCACTGCATATATTTAGAACTAAATTTAGAACTGAAAAGGTACTTTTCAGGATGCAGTGGTACTTAGGCACAGTACCAATATTTTATAATAGAGAAAATTATAAACAATCATTTATAATAAAAAAATTAGAAACAGCCTAGATGTCCATCTAAGCACAAATAAATTGTTAAGCTATTGAAGAAGACCATGGTTAGTAAAATACCACTTACATGAATTATAAAAATAGGCAAAGTAATGCTATATTTTGTTTATCGTATAAAACCTATATGGCAATTGTAAATCCCAAATTTTCAAGTAGTCATTATTCCTGGGGGAGAAAAGTAAGTATATAAAATCGTTCATCTCTTATAGGTCTCCT